CAGAAAGGTCTAGTAGTAAGGGTATGGAGTAGTGGCCATTGGTTTTAACAGTTAGTAAATCGTTAGTGAGTTTTAGTAGGGAAGTTGCTCTGAAGTGCAGCAAGTGAAAGCCTTACTGTAAGGGGTAAAGAAGGTTGTTTCCAGTGAGGTAGGATGTCAGACACAGGGCTGGCGCTACCACTAGGCGAACTACACAGCTACCTAGGGTACACTGCTGCCTAAGGCCGCTGGTTTCCCTGCTCTCCACCAGACCTGTGTCACATATGGCTGAATTTTAGTGCCATCCCAGCCACATGCAGTATCGCTCCATTATCCTGAGCAGAATCTTTGCACTCAATGTTAGCCACAGGTGGGTACAGTATAGAGGATCCCAGTAATTAGTGCTGTGCCCAGCTCTTGGTGACTGACGTAGACCAGTAGCAGCTGATTGGAAGTGAATGGGGAACAGGGTGCATGTCCATTGTGGCACTGGCTGTATCTGTGTCCCCGGGTCACTCTTGTGTGTCCTGGTCCCCATGTCCCTCCTGGGGCCAGCTCACCCCTCCAGCCAAGTGGATGTACTTCAGGAAGAGACTGGGCTTTGCTGCTACCCAAATCGTGAGTATCAGCTGCCCCCCCCCCCCGCCCAGCTCTGATCAGTACACAGGGCCCTGATCCGGGGTTCCCTCTGACACTGTCCTCTGCACTTTAATCCTCCCCTGACCCTGTGCAGGGGCCCTCTCCTCTTCCTGCACCTCCTTGATACCCTGCACCCCACACTGATCACCCTATAGGACCCTGCACCCCTCACAATCATCCTGTACAACACTGCACCCCTCATCCCATACTGATCACTCCACAGAAAACTGCACCCTTCACTATACATTTACCCCTCACCCAATACTGATCACCCTGTAAAACACTGCACCCCATACTTATCTACTCTACACAACCCTCTCCTCTACCCCCCATAGAACAATGCACCCCAACCCCATTCTGATCACTCTACAGGACATTGCAGCCCATACCATACACCCTCCCACAACCCATACTAATCTACTTTACAGAACACTGCACCCCCCACCCCAAACTCATCCACTCTACACAACCCTGCAGCCACTCTGACACACTCTGTACAACACTGTACCCCAACCTCATACCGATCACCTTCTACAAATCTGCACCCCCATTCCATACTGATTTACACTTCAGAACCCTGCACCCTTAAACCCATACCGATCTACTTTACGGAACACTGCACCCACCCTAGAGCACAAATTAAGACATTTTTCAGTTTCATGTTTTGTTGTTTAAATATTTTCTACTGTTTTTAAAAAAGTTGTATTTTGGGGGGGAAGGGGGGCTGCAAGTAGCTGGTCTTGTTTAGGGTACAAAATAGTCTGCAACAAACTGAGCAGGGCTGGTGCTAGACTAAGTATTCTAAAGGTTTGGAAGTAAATGATAGCCAGGAGATAGGTCTTAAGTTGTTCAGGCTGGTGGAGTCCAATGTGGGATTTTTAAGTATGGGGTGATCTCTGCATGCTTTAGAGGGGAGGGGAAGATACTAGTAGAGAGAGATTGAAGATGTGAGTGAGAGAGCATAGGATAGAGGAAGAGGGTGACCTTCGTAATTGCGAAGGAACAGGGTCCAGAGGACAATTGGTTAGGTGGGTATCTGAGAAAAGTTTGGTAACCTCTTCTGTAGTAGCCTGATCAAAAGAGGAAAGTTTTGAATGTACTGTTAGACAGGATATGTTAAGTGGGGAACATATCTGTACAGTGGAGATGTCCTCACAAATTGCATCTTTCTTGTTTTTGAAGTGAGTGGTTAGCAGTCTCCTGGCCAGTGAGTGAGTTAATGGGAGGGGGACAAAGAGAAATAAAGTTGGAGAAGCACCGAAAAGGACTTGAGTATTGACAAAGTGACAAAGTAGGTTTGTTAGCATGGAGACAGGAATTGTATTTAAGAGTGCATATTTTCATAGGGGGAAAACTTGCTGGGATTTAGTTTTACACCAAAGTTTTCAGGTATTGTGCAGCCCTTTGCAGACCCCAGTATTGGGAGTAGAAGCATTGATTTGTAAAGGGGCTGCAATGACCATATAACAATAATCATTTCTAGTAGTTTCACATAATTTTCCCAGTTTCTGGTCTCAAACATCATCTGTATAATGTCTGCAATCTCTGGCCTTTTCCTCTGGCTGTCTCAACGGGTATGTTTGCAGTCTCAGAGTTTTTTTTATCTTTACATATTCTGTATTGTATATTATACCTTACCATCAGGCATTTTTAGGGGCTGCAGTTGAGGGATTTATTTTTTTTATAGGTTGACAACCACTGCTCTAAGGCAATTGGATACTTCCTGGATCAATAATGTGCAACATTTATTATAGCTAAAATAGATTTATAGTTTGGCAATTTAGAAACACATCTGAACCTTTTGGATGTAGTTTACTGAGCTGGATAGGACAAGCTCATGTGGGAAACTTCCACATTTTTATAGCTCATGTTGTAAAGAAACCTTTTCATATGCACATGTTAAACCTCTTTACTATCAATTCTCTAGTATCTTTTTGGGGGACCTTAATGTAAAAACATTCCCCCCAAGTTTACTCTATGAATCATTTATGTATCAATACAAGGTGATCATATCCCACAATAATCACCTCTTTACAATGGTGAATACATTCAGTTCAGGTAATATTTCCTCATAGTGGTGTTCATCCTCTTAATCTAGTTCCCTTCTCTGTACACGTTCCAGTGCCCAAAAACTGAACTGTACATTCAAGAAGTCAATTTGCATATGTTTTGTATAGGGGCAAAAATACTGTATGTCTCCCCCTCTCTCTCTCTGTTCCATCTATGCCTGTTGCCTGTATATGTGTGTGTGTGTATATACATATATATATATACAAAAAAAAGAAGTACATTATTAAACACAAGAGGAGATTATTTGTACATAAATGAGAATTTCGAACTGGTGTGTTTTGTACCAAACATTTTGTTCTAAAGATTTTTCTTATCAGTGTGTATTTGTTGCAGTAATAGTTTACAGTTTTCATAAAGTTTTGAGGTTTGTGTTAGGCTCATGATAAAGTTTGTGTTGGAGCTTAAAAAGTATCTGTCAAAAAAAAAAAGAAAAACTAGTTTTTGCGGTTTTGCAAGTTCCACAACTCACAACCTTAAACTTGCTATAGTTAACATGGGTATACGCTAGTAGAATTTTGTGCGAAATTTTTCATTTTAAGATTTCCTAATCATTAGTGAGGTCTAATCGACATTAGTTTTTGACTGCAGTGAGACAACAAAATTTGATGGCACAAGATGGAAAATAGACAATTTTCTAAGAATGAATATGTGTTTTTGTTAAAGAAATTACATTCATCCCAAAACATATATTAAAAGCTAATTAAATTTTGGAGTACTTTCGAACGACATTCATTCAGTTGTCAAATGTATGACGAATTTTTGTATGAACGTTTTTTTGAAAATCTACTAGTGTATTGTTAGTGTTAGCTTGGTTACGGTCTTGGAACAACAATGGGCATATCAGGTCTCAACAACTACAACAGTTTATTTCAATGCTGGGAGAATTGCACTGTGGGATTTTGGCACCAGTATTGTATGACTTCAGCGCAGAGCCTCCCACCATAGAGGTGAGCCTGGAGTTAGTGTATCTAAACCCATGAAAGGGACACCCCCTTGCTGCTTCTGATTCCAATTATGGAATTGAAGCTTAACTTTCCTTAGATGTGGTGGCTACATTTTTTTTCTTTATTACACACAGTTTTTCTAGATTTTTTTCACCTGGTGATCCTGCCAGAAAAAAATTCCTGTCATAGGACAACAACTATACTGTTTCTAGGAGGAGCAGCATTGTCACCCTAGGAACAAAGTGTGTACAAACTATAAAACCCCTCCCCCACTCCATATCATAGAGAGAGGTTTTCGATAGCAGAGATAGCTGGGAATAATGCTAGCTAATAACTGTCCATAGAGGAAGAGAGTACAGGACGTTATCAAGATTTCTGGCTGGAGGAACAGCTATTTTATTTATTTATTACTTTTCTCAAACAGATATAACAAAATGCTTTAAATTGTATGTTTAACAGACCATAAGGGAGCAAGTTATCAATGTTTATTGTAAAAGTTTATATAGACTTTAAGTAGTATTAGGGCTTGTGTTGTGGTTTAGGATTGGTGTTGATAGCTTAGGGGTCACTTCACTAAGAGTTAAATAACGACTGAAACAAAATGCGGTAAAATAACGCACGCGGTACATTTTTTGCAAATGTACAATTCACTAAGTATTTTGCGGTAAATAACTCTTGCAGTAAAATCTATGTATTGCAGTAATTACTGCATATTTTCATGTGGTAATTTATCGCACGGTAGCTGGTCGCTAAGGAAGTCAGCCATGGTGTCCTTAACAACGGATGACTCATTTGCTGGTAGTGGAACACTCAGCCAAAACATGCCAGCAATTAATGAAACAGTGTGGGGCTCCCCCCCTCCATACCAGGCCCTTTGGGTCTGGAATGGATTATAAGGAAAACCCCACACCAAAATTAAAAAAGAAAAAAAAAGTCTCTTAGGTCTGGTATGGTTTTTGAGGGAACCCCACACCAAAATAAAAAAAAAAAAAAAAATGGTGTGTGGGTCCCCTCACAGTTCTAAGGGATTTGGGGTCTGGTATGGATCTGGGGAGGACCCCACACTGGTTTTTAAACATTTTTGGCATGGGGTTCCCCTTTATATCCATGGGGACCCCTAGGGGTTTGGGGGGACATCCCCTTGCTGCATCTGAAAAAATACCGCTTGTGATACCGCTAGCAAAACCCTGGTGATAAATATTGCATCTTTTTTTAGTTTCTGTTCTGTTTGAGAATTGAACTTAACAGCTTACCGCATGTTTTTTTTGGAGGTATTTACCAACACATTTTTAATTTTGCGTTAACTTCCTTCCCTACCGCGCTATAGTTGAAGGACGGCTACAGCGCTGTTGTCTAGTTCTGGGATGACATCCATGGACGTTATTCCAGAACATGTCCCCTGCGCTCCCCCGGCGCTGCCGGTGATCGCTGTGTCCTACGGACACAGCTGATCAAGGGAAACCGTAAACGGCCAATCACATCCGCCTTTTACCACGTGATCAGCTGTGTCCAATGACACAGCAGATCACCAGGTAAACACAGTTGCCGGTTATTGGCTGCACTTTTTTCACGCTGTCACAGCATGAGGAAAGTACTGCCAAGAACTGGCAATTGTCAGAGAAGTGATGGGCACTGATCATCAGGGTACTGATCATCACTGCCCTGATGATAAGTGCCTATCAGTGCTGCCCACCTGTATCCATCAGTGCCACCCACCTGTGCCCAGCCATGCCACCCAGCAGTGCTGCCCATCAGTGCCGTCCGTCAGTCAGTGCCACCTCATCAGTGCCCATCAGTGCTGCCTATCAGTGCAGCCTCATCAACACACGTCAGTGAAGGAGAAAAATTACCTGTTTGCAAAATTTTATAATAGAAACAAAGGAAAACTTTTTTTTTTTTTTTTTCAAATTTTGTGCTCTTTTTTGTTTATAGCGCAAAAAATAAAACACCCAGCAGCGATTAAATGCCATCAAAAGAAAGCTCTATTTGTGTGAAAAAAATGTCATATGGGTAGTGTTTGCATGACCGCACAATTGTCAATCAAAGTGCAACAGCGTTGAAAGCTGAAAATGGGCTGGATTGGAAGGGGGGTGACAGTGCCCAGAAGTCAAGTGGTTGAATACCGCAGAATCTTTTTTTTTTTTTTTTTTTTTTCTTTTTCTTTTTTGAATTGGACATTTTGTTACCGCATGTGATAATTTATGCAAATTAGTCACGTTACAGTGTTATCGCATGCAGCAACCTTTAGTGAATTGACTCTTAAGTGGTAAAGGACCAGGATGGCGAACCCAAAATCTTCCCTTTCATAAACAAGTAATGTCCTCTCCTGTAAATCGTAAATATATCCCAACAGATTCCCAAATTGATTTACTTTGTCAGCTTGGAAGACCTGAGTTGACAAGTCTGTGTTATGCTCTGAAGCAATCTTTAAAATTTGTATGATGAGGGTAACCAGACCATGCATGCACATCCAGCAGTCCTCAAAGTCTGTTTCTGGCATTAGTACTGTTGACATTCTAGTACCAATAAACATAGAGATCGCATTATGTTTGGACGTTTCATCCGACACCCTCAGCTAAATATCTTGGCTGAATGTTTTTTTAAGCCGGTCAGGCTTATGTTGATTTTTGGGTGGTAATGCTAGCAGTACCTGTGAAATAGTGGAAGAAGACAATATGTTGTCTATTAGGAATAATGAATAATATTACCTTGTTCCAGCACTGCTACCACTGTGATAAAAGCCAGCTGAGCCACTTGGTCATGCATGTTGGAGAAGATATTTGATTCCTGGTATGAGTTGCTCTGGAAATGAAGATTCTGTATCTGAGTTGGCGGGGTTGATTCACCAGGTTTATGTCTTTTAAAGAAATATAAAAGTTGGATGGTTGAAGCAGGTTGTTACCATGCAGCTTCTTCTGGAAACACCTGATGGCAGGTTATCAGGAGTGGGAGATGCAAGGCACTGTGGCGTGGTGTAGGCTTCAGGGTGTGTGAGTCTGTACATTGCTCATTCTCTGTAGAGACAGGCAGGCTCATTGCTGTACAATAATATGATACCTGACTTCCTCTTTCCACAGGCAGCTTTGCAGAAGTCATCATTTCGCTTTACTTTCACATTTTTCTGTGGTAGCTGCAGTTTTGCCTGAAAATTGCAGTGTAATTTTGGCAACACATACATTAAGTCTGTATCTTTTTCTTTCAGACTCAGAATTTTTTCATTGTATTTAACAGTATTTTGTTACAATGCACCGAAAACATTTTGTCTGTTTTTTACCCAAGTTACTGTCATTATTATACAGTATTTATATAGCGCCAACAGTTTGCTCAGCGCTGTACAATATAATGGGAGACAGTACACAAGATAGTACAGTAACAATACAATACACGAGAGGTTCAAGGGCCCTGCTCCTTGGAGCTTACAATCTATGAGGGAGGGGAGAGTGGTACAGGAGGAAATAGCTGTGGGGGATGGAGTGGTAGGAAGAGTGGAGGAGATCGGCTGTTAGATGAGAGTGGGGTAGGCTTCCCTGAAGAGTTGGGTTTTCAGAGTGCGCCTAAAGGTGAGGAGGGTAGGTGACAGTCTGATGGATTGGGGGTAGTGAGTTCCAGAGGATGGGAGAAACCCTGGAGAAGTCCTGGAGATGGGCATGGGAGGAGGAGGAGACCAGGGAACTAGAGAGTAGGAGATCTTGTGAGGAGCGGAGAGCGCGTTTTGGGTCGTAGATGGATATCAGGTTGGTCATAATTCTGATCGATTTCTTTATGTTGCTAAACACAAAATGGGACAGACAAGAATAAATTCATTTTAAATAGGTTGTAATATAATCAACTATTTTTCCTATCACTTCCTTTTTTTAATTCTTTCTGAAAACATTGATTAAGTGGGAATAAAAAATGTAAATTCTGTATAAAATTGTATTCCATTTTATATGCTTTGCTTATGTATCGCACACTGCATTCATTCTGCACCCGCCATTAGTAATGTTTTGATCATGTATGCGCATTCCTTAGAGTTTTGATAAGAAATTAGCCTGCATATGTTGCACCCCTTGTTACCTCAAAAGTACAATTGTAATATTAATATTTTAGCTGCATAAGCCCATCTTTTTGTGTCTGTTCCCTACTGCAGTAATTGTTAATTTGGAATCACTGATCAATGTGAGGATAAGAGTTGCCTATCTATAAGATTACCTATATACAGTTTGATTTTTCATGCATACAATTGGAATATTGAAATGATCAGAATATGGAATGATTAGTTCAAAAGTATTTTACCTCTGAATATTTTTTGTATGTGTATTTTATAGATCTCTCTGACCACCACCTCATCACGTTCTCTATCTCCCCTTCCCCCAACTCCCCCCCCCCCCCCCCCCAAAAACGCCAAACCATTACCAGCCGCAATCTCCACAACCTGAACTCGGCCCCCCTCCACTCAGCCGCCGACCGCCTACACGACAGCATCCTCCCACTGTCATGCCCTGACATAGCCACCACCTTGTACAACGACTCACTGTCCGCTGCCCTAGACTCTCTGGCACCCCTAACCACACGCATCATCAAACCCAGGCCGCTTCAACCATGGCAGAATGACAGCACTAAACGCCTCAAACGTCGCAGTCGTGCACTGGAGAGACTGTGGCACAAAACCAGGTCCCCTCACGCATTTTCCCTCTACAAATCTGCCTTCCTCACTTACACCTCCTCCCTCCACGCCGCCAAGCAGGCCTACTTTGTTAACCTAATCAACACCCTCTCCTCCTGCCCTCGCCGACTCTTCTCCACCTTCAGCTCCCTGCTCTCTCCCCCCCCCCCCTCCACACTCAGTACCTCACTCACCGCCACGAGATTGCCACCCATTTCCGTAACAAGATTGACGCTATCCGCAAGGACATTGTCGACTCGCAATCTACCTCCCCACCCCCGTCACCCCTTCTTCTCCCCCCTCCTCTGCCCTCACAACCGCACTGCCCTCCACCTCTCCCGAGGCCCCCCCCCACCGTAACCCCCCCTGCACTGCACTCCCTCAGCCCTGTCACTACTGAGGAAGTCATCAAGGTCCTCTCAGAAGCCCGCCTCACTACCTGCCCCCTGGACCCTATCCCCTCTCAACTCCTCCGGTCACCCCCCTCTTCCCTCATCCGCTCCCTCACCCACATCTTCAATCTCTCCCTCTCTACTGGCGCATTCCCCTCCCCCCTAAAGCACGCACATATCACCCCCATCCTCAAAAAGCCCTCCCTGGATCCCGCGGACCCCAACAACCTCAGACCCATCTCCCTGCTGCCACTCACCTCCAAGCTCCTTGAGCGCATAGTCTATGATCGCCTAAGCGCCCACCTTATTGACAATAACCTCCTTGACCCATTACAGTCCGGCTTCCGTCCCCTACACTCCACCGAAACTGCCCTCCTCAAAATCACTAACGACCTACTAAACGCCAAAGCCAAGGGCGACTACTCTGTCCTCCTTCTCCTTGGACCTCTCCGCGGCCTTCGACACAGTCGACCACCCCCTCCTCCTTAATAAACTACTCTCCCTTGGCATCAGAGATACCGCTCTCTCCTGGTTCTCATCCTACCTATCCCGACGCTCCTTCAGCGCCACCTACAATGGCGCCACCACCCCCTCCCTCCCCTCTGTTGGGGTCCCTCAAGGCTCTGTCCTTGGACCCCTTCTCTTCTCCATCTACACCTCCTCCCTGGGCACACTCATACACTCCCATGGCTTCAATTATAACCTCTATGCTGACGACACCCAAATTTACCTCTCCACCCCTCTCCTCACCCCCACTATCTCCGCCCGCACCACTCACCTCCTAAACGACATCTCAGACTGGATGTCGCTCCATTTCCTCAAGCTTAACCTCTCCAAAACCGAACTCCTCGTCTTTCCCCCTGCCCACACCCCCCCCCCCCCCTATCCATCATTACCACCAACACCACTATCACTCCCACCCCCCCGCAAGCCAAAGTCCTTGGCGTCATTCTTGACTCGAACCTCTCCTTCCTCCCTCATGTCAAATCACTTGCAAACACCTGCAGGCTCCATCTCCGCAATATTGCCAAGATACGTGCCTTCCTCACCCCAGACACCACCAATCTTCTTGTACACTCCCTCATCATCTCACGCCTTGACTACTGCAACTCTCTTCTCACTGGCCTACCCAAGTGTAGGCTCTCCCCGCTCCAGACCATCCTGAACTCAGCGGCCAGACTCATCCACCTCACCACCCGCTCCACCTCTGCCACCCCCCTCTCCCTCTCCCTCCACTGGCTCCCGATTGTCCAACGCATCAAATTTAAACTTCTAATCCTGACCTACAAAGCCGTTCATAACACTGCCCCTGACTACCTCACCAACCTGATCCCCAAGTACCACCCTACCCGTACCCTTCGCTCCTCACAGGACCTCCTTCTATCCTGCTCCCTGGTCTCCTCCTCCCATGCACGACTGCAGGACTTCTCCAGGTCCTCCCCTATCCTCTGGAACTCACTGCCCCAATCCATCCGACTGTCGCCTTCCCTCCCCACATTCAGGCGCTCCCTCAAAACCCATCTTTTCAGGGAAGCCTACCCCACCCTCACCAAACGGCCTTTCTCCCTCATTCCTCCAACCACTTCATCCCCCTCAGCCACTTCATTCCCCTCAGCCACTTCCTATTGTTCCACTACCCCCTCCCTCCTAGATTGTAAGCTTGAAAGAGTAGGGCCCTCTTACCCCTCGTACGCTGTCTGTGTTTGTTGTACTGTGCCATGTACAGCGCTGAGCAAACCCTTTGGTGCTATATAAAGTCGATGTAATAAATAAATAATAAATAATCATAGTCTTTATC